TTTTTTTTAAGTTTCTGCTTTCGTGGTGCTGCCAGAAACACAGGTACTGCCTGTGATAATGTAATGCATCTGTCTGATAGCTGTTCTGGTGGAGAAGAAAACAACCAAGGCCGTGTGAGGCATGGCATGCGTAGGTAATAGGGATGATTTTCTTAGCATCATTGTTTCAATTGGCACTGCAGCCTGTCTTAATAAAGTTTAGGCCAGTCTCACACCTTACAGACACTAAAAGGAGTGCTTATCATAATGTAGCAGTAATATTTTTCTCTTATATTAGGGCTTGTTGGCGCAGGTCATCTACAGGTAAAATGAAGTCAGTGTTTTCAAACTGCTATAGTTAAACGTGTGAAATTCATTTAGCAAAGGTCCTCAGCAGCAGTGTCAATTCCAGTATAATTGTAAAAGTACAAACCACCTGCAAGTTTTCAAAAGTATTGATTGGATTATTCAAAACAGAGGTGTTAGGGGGTTTTTTAGCTTAATTTCAGACATCACAACTGATTTTGTTTTAAATACTTGAGGCAGAGCACACACAATAATTTCTGTTAGGAATGTCATTGTGTAATAATGGGGGGGGGAAGAATAACTTGTCATGACAAAGGGGTTTGCTGGATTGGAAGACATTTCATTTCTGTGCCTTCTTTCTGAGCTTTCTGCTTGTCTCATGCATATTCCACATGAGGAAAAAATGACCTTCAAATAAGGCTGTCTGTAAGCCTCCCTCCTATGAATTCGTTCAGAAGTGAAGGTCTGGCATCCCTTTAAAGCAACTTTTTCTTCTATTACTAATACTCATAATGATACCTGATCATAATTTTAAAGAGGATTAAAAGGATTCTTAGGTAGATATGTGTTCAATCTTATTTGAGATCCCTCTGATTAATTTGAAAGTCCTTGTTAGTCAGGACTGACCCAAATGTTTTTGTAAAGCAACTGGCAGAGCTGACAAAACTAACATATTGGTTTTAATAATCCAGGATTAGGAGATCTTATTTCATATCCAAGTGTCATTTCAGCTTCTTCTTTCATCAGTTCTTTTCCCAGACAGGACTTAAAAGCATTGGTGAATGATAAATAATGCAACAGTACCAGGAACTTGTTAAGTTCCACTATTAATATGCTATCTTTTTTTCCTAAAATGAAAACATTAGTGTTAGGGATATAATTTGTGAAGTTGCTGGAAAAAAGTAATAAACTTGCTGAGTGGCTAAACTTGTTAAACAGTTAAGCTTGACAATCATTTCCAGGCACATGAACAATAAGGAAAGCCTCAGGAGTAGTCAGTATGGATTCATCGTGACATCTTGACCAACCTGGTAAACTTGTGTGATGAAATGGTCCGGCAAAGCCGGGGGAGAGCAGTCATTATTGTTTGCCTAGGCCTCAGTAAGGCTTTTGACTCCACTAATACCTCCCTAGAGAAGCAGTTGATGCATGGGGTGGATGTGCAGGCAGTGCAGTGAATGGCTTGTCCCAGAGCGTGGTGATGCATGGCACAAAGTCTAGTGAAGGGCCAGTAATTAGAGGTGTGTCCTAGGGGTCAGTCCTGGGCCTGAGCCTTTCCAGCATCTTGGTTAGTGACCTGTGCAATGGGGCACAGTGTCCCACCAGCAAGGTGACACCTTGGAACTGAATAACCAGTAACCAAGTAACACCAAGGAGCTGAGGAACCAGAGGGTTGTGCTGCTGCGTGGATGAACTGCAGAAATGTGCTGAGAAAAACCTCATGAAGTTCAAGAAGGGGAAGTGCAAAGTCCTGCACCTGGGGAGGAACAATCACAGGCCCTGGTACATGGTGGGAAGCACCCAGCTGGAGACGAGTTTTCAGAAAAGGCCTTGGGAGTTTCCTGGACGCTGAATTGGATGTAAACCAGCACTGTGTCCTTGAAGCAAGGAAAACTGAGTGCCCTGGGCTGCATTAGGACGAGTGTTACCAGCAGGCTGAGGAAGGTGATCCTGCCCCTCCATTCAGCACAAGTGAGGCTGCTGCTGGTGTACTGTGCCCAGCTCTGGGCTCCCCAGTGCAGGAGGAAGTTGGTGCTGCTGGAAAGAGTCCAATGAAGGGCTAAAAAGATGAAAACGTGAAGGCAGTGTGAAAAGAAGACCAGAACCCGGCTCAATCCAGTTGTGCCCAGTGACAGGTCTAGAGGCAGTGGGCACAAACTGAAACATGGGATGTTCTTTGTGAGCATCAGGAAGCCTTTTTTACTCTGAGGGTGATGGGGCACTGGCAGAGGTTACCCAGAGAGCTGCTGCAGTCTCCGTCCTTGGACATCTTCCAAAGCCATCTGGACACAATCCTGGGCAATGGGCCCTAGGTGGCCCTGCTTGATCAGAGATGTTAAACCAGATGACCTCCCTAGGTCCACCCTCAGCCACACTGTATGGTACTGTGTGAAACAGGGCTCTTCAGCATTTTCTTCACAATACTGTTGCACACAAAGGCTGTGTCAGTTACACTACAAAGAAGGGAACAAACTGTTCTGTAACTAGTGTAGAGGGAACAAAAATGCTTGAACTTTAGCAAGGCAGCTTTGTGCTGGACCTTAGGAAACATTTCCTAGCAGTACCTAATTTAATTGTCTAGAACATTTTAGAAAAAAATACATCCTGCAGGAATATTTTAGGTACAACTGATCCTGTCTGTGATCAGTTGTTTCTTTGGGGCCTGCTTTCTGTGGTTGTGTCAGTTATGCTTTCCCATTGTAACATTTGCTGATATTGACTGTAGAACAAAAGTAATTTTTTTTTCTCTCCAATGCTCTAGAATGATGTTTTAATTGTAATTGTAATACATTTTCCTGTTTAAAAAAGTTAGTTTCTGAAATTGGGATTGTTAGGTGGTGAATCGACATCCTGACTGAAGATTCTGAACCAGGTCAGGAGTGAATGAAACCACAAATATCTATATTTATTAAAGAGAAAAGCTGCTGACAAGCTCCTACCATACAATCATCCCTCAGCATGTCGAAGGCATGTATCAAAGCATATTTCAAAGTTTGCCACAGAGCAGACTGGAAAGGATTCTGCACAGCCTTAGGGGCATAGGTTTGTTAGAAGAAACGTGAGACAGCTGCTCAACTGGAATATAAACTCCTGCTTAGAGCCCTGATTAGGGCAGTTTTAGTCTGATTAGGGCAGTTGCTGTGATTCAGTTGCTGCTGAAACACAAGATAAAGTGGCAAAACCCAAGATAAAATGGCAAAACACAAGGAGAATATTGTTGAGCTTCTGTCCCTGTCTCCTGGTGCTGTTAACAGGCAGGTATAATTTTGAGCATCAATATTCTGCACTCCGTTAGAGAACAGCATGGCTGTAGTCAGCATAGAGGCTCTTTAGGACTAAAGATGGCCTATGGACATTACTGGGGGGGATGATCTCGTGTACCTAGACAGAAGCAGACTTAAATCCTCTGTATAATCTGTTACTTGTGACCAAGGCCATCCACAGAGGTATGTGGGCCATGATAAATAAAAATCTGTTACAATGAAGGGCCCGTGTGCACCTTACTGTTGCATATACAGAGTTCAGGATGTAGGTTGTGGTAGATGAAAATATTTTCTGTGCTTTTTGTCAGAAGGGGAAGATGCAAGTTTTCCCATCTGTGTTGTACATAGCAGTCTCTGACTGACATTTTCTGCAGATTTTTCTGGTTAGTTCTATTAGACATTTGGGAAAAAAAAAAAAAAGTTATATGTACTTTTACCGTGCTTCAGTTTTCAAACATGTCCTTGTAAAACACTAACGTCAGATGCTTGAATGTATTTTTCTGAATAGAACAGCAAGATCAGAGTCAAGGAACCTTTTGTACTGTCTTCATGAGTCATAGTCATATATACAGTTAATAACTAGTGAATAATCTGAGCATGAATCACATTCGTAGCATATATTGATGAACCACTATCTATGTTTTTATATTTTCAATGTTTCTTAAACAAGGCTTAAACAAGCAAGGCCTAAACAGTCATACTCTTCATCAGTTTTGATCCTTAATTTTGAACCTATTGGCTGGTTTGGTCAAACTTAACAGAAATGTTGATAAATTATTGTAGATTTCATGATAACAGGTTGGATGGATAGAGCAGAAGGACTCTGATGGAGGATGATGTTACAGTTAAACTTATGCCTTACTAGGCAGAGAATGTACATGGGAAAAAAAGCTTTGCATAAATGCTTCAGTGGTAAATATCCTTCAGCCTTTGGTGCATATGCCTTCTGAGGCAGCAAAGCCACAAACACATTGCGTCAGTAGAAAATCGGTCTCGCTTTGTTCTTATTTCAGTGAGATTACTTTCTGTTTGCTGATTTGATTTGCTGGTTTTGTGTGGTCTTTACCTAGTATTCCACAACACTAGTAGCCCTCAAAGCCCCCTCAGGCTACTTGTATGTGTAATATTAACATTATTCGTCTCTGCAGGCTTGATCTTCAGAATTAGTTTGCCTCAATTTAGATACTTAAATTTGAATTTACTGCTTTACTTCATTTGAAAGACTTTATAATAAGCATTGAGTTATTCGTGTGCTAATTAACATCCCCTCAGTAAATGCAGAAGATGGATTATTTTTGTCTTGTTTTTCAGTTCACACAAAAATGTGAACCAGGTCCTGGAGAGACTAAAGAATGACGCTATGTTTTGATGGTTTAGCTGTCTGAGAATAATCCAATGTAAGTGTTGAAAATAATCTAGCTGAATTGCTGAGGATTTTCCTCTGAGAGAAGATAAACTTGAAAAATAGACCCAATTATGATACATGCTCTTACCAGTACCCATGCTGGTTCAAGAACAGCATTTTAAAAGGTGTTCTTGAATAAATTCTTGAATAAATTATTCCCAAGTCATAGCTTGCAGGATGAGTTTAGAAGTGCAGACTGTGTGCAATTCATTCAGATCCTTGCAGAGCTTGGAGGCTAGTGTTGATCTGTGTAATTTCATTGAGATTTAATTGTCTTACTCTGTTTCTAGGGATCTTCTTGTGGAAGTAATCATCAGAACCTAGTCAAAAGACTACAGCTCAGATCTGAAAAGTGACACTGATGAGCCTGGGGGTGACTCGCCAGTGTTGGGGGTGAAATAATAGCTCAGCTGAAGTGCATCTGCACCAGTGCACACAGCATGAGTAACAGACAGGAGGAGCTGGAAGCCACTGTCAACGGGAAAGCTGTGACATAGTTGTCATCATGGAAACATGGTGAGATGACTCTCATGACTGGAGAGCTGCAGTGGATGGTTACAAACTCTTCAGAAGGGCCAGGTGAGGAAGGAGAGGGGGTGGGATGGCTCTGTACACTGGATGGTGTTCTGACTGTGCAGAGCTCCAGGGCAGTGGTGATGAGGCTGAGTGCCTGTGGGTGAGGACTGGGGGGAAGATAACGAGGCAGACATCCTGGTGGGAGACCATCCATCTGCTGTAGAGCTCCCAGCCAGGATGAAGAGGCAGATGAAGTATTTTATAAGTGTCTGGCTGACGTTTCATGATTACCAGCCCTTGTTCTTGTGGGAGACTTTAACCTGCCAGACGTCTGCTGGAAACTCAGCACAGTGGACCAGAGGCAGTCGAGTGAGTCCACGGAGCGTGTGGAAGATAACTTCCTGACACAGCTGGTAAGTGAGCCTGCAAGAGGGGCTGCCCTGCTAGACTTGCTGTTTAAGAACAGAGAAGGGCTGGTGGGAGATGTGGTGGTCTTGGGCACAGTGACCACGAAATGATATTTTCAATTCTTGGTGAAGTAAGGAAGGGAGTCAATAAAACCTGTACCTTGGGCTTCCAGAGGGTGGACTTCAGCCTGTTCAGGACACTAGTTCAGAGAGTACCTTGGCAAACAGTCCTTAATAACAAAGGGGTCCAGGAAGGCTGGACACACTTTAAGAAGGAAATCTTAAAGGTGCAGGATCAGGCCATCCATATTTGCCTAAAGACAAGCTGGCAGGGAAGACTACTGGCCTGACTGAAGAGGGAGCTTGCACTGGAACTCATGGAATAAAAGAGATTTTATGACCTTTGGAAGAAGGGGGAGACAACTCAGCAAAAGTACAAGGATGTTGTTAGGTCTGTCAGCCTGACCTTGGTGCCTGGGAAAGTTGTGGAACAGATCATCTTGAGTGCAGTCACACGGCACATACAGGACAACTGGGGATCAGGCCCAGCCAGTGTGGGTTTAGGAAAGGAAGGTCCTGGTTGACCAACCTGATCTCTTTTTATGACCAGGTGACCTGCTTAGTGGATGAGGGAAAGAGGATGTTGTCTACCCGGACTTTGATCAAAGAGGATGTTTTCTACCTTTACTTTTATCAAAGTAAAGTCTTTGGTACTGTCTCCCACATCATTTTCCTGCACTTGTGTCACAACAACCCCAGACTGCACAGCATCTTGGGGAAGCGTGGTAGGAAAGCAGCTGGAAGAGGACCTGGGGGTGCTGGTGAACAGCCAGCTGACCTGAGCCAGCAGTGTGCTCAGGTGGCCATGAAGGCCAATGGATCCTGGCTTGTGTCAGCAATAGTGTGGCCAGCAGGGCCAGGGCAGTGATTGTCCCCTGCACTTGGCACTGATGAGGCCACCCCTGGCATGCTGTGTCCAGCTCTGGGCCCCTCAGTTCAGGAAGGACATGGAGGGGCTGGAGCAGGTCCAGAGAAGGGTAATGGAGCTGGTGAAGGGTCTGGAGAATAAGTCCTGTGAGGAGCAGCTGAGGGAGCTGAGGTTGTTTAGCTTGAAGAAAAGGAGGCTCAGGGAGACCTTTATTGCTCTCTACAACCACCTGAAAGGAGGCTGTGGCCAGGTGGGGTGTTGGCCTTTTCTCCCAGGCAGATAGTGACAGGACAAGAGGAAATGGCCTCAAGCTGAGCCAGGGGATATTCAAACTGGACATCAGGAACAATTTCCTTACTGAAAGGATTGTCAAGCGTTGGAATGGACTGCTCAGGGAGGTGGTGGAGTCACCAGTCCTGGAGGTGTTTGAGAAATGATTGGACATGGCACTTAGTGCTGTGGTTTAGTTAACAAGGTCAGCTTCAGTGGAAGGTTGGGCTTGATGGTCTTGGAGGTCTTTTCCAGCCTTGATGAATGGAAAATGACTCTATTGCCATGTTAAACAAAATCAATAATGCTGAATTTAGCAGATGATTTCCATAGCAACCAATGCTCATATAACAAATTCAGAATGATACTGGATAATGACTGGAGAATCAAGCAGAAGATGCTGTCAAATGAGGCACAGCTCTCCTCAGATTTTTCCTGTAGGCTGTGCAATATGACGCTGTCTTAAAGTGGATCAAGGACAAAAAACCCTGTAGCTCAATCTCTGAGTTCTTCATTTACTGGATATTTTTGACACAATGTTTAAATAGTTTGAGTAAAGGCTCTATTTAAACTTTAAAATGTCAGTGCTAGACCTGAGAAAAGATCCTTTTATCCAAACTTATCCCTGTGGCTTCTCTAATGGATACCTTCCAGAATTAAATTGTGTAAGAATCAGAAAAGCATGTGATGACATGTTCCCATCTTAGTCTTGATTCTGGGCCTACTGATGAGGGATTTCTTTACAAATAATAGGCCATGTGAATTTCTGTTTCATGAATCTTCAGGTCATCTTTGGGCCAAACATTTTTTCTCCACTGTGTGAGGGTTAGCAGCGGGTCTGTCAGCTCTCTGGGAGAAGATATTGACTGGGGAAACTTCGAGTATATCCTCGAGATAAGAAAACTATGTATGCAGCCCTAACGAAAGAAAAGACAGGCTGTGGAGTGCTTAGATTCAGTCCTGTGGGAACCCCAATATAGCCTTGAGCCTTGCCAAATACATCAGCAGTAAATAATAGCAAATTGAAACACTGTTGCTTGCTTACCTAAGAATAAGTTGCTGCTTGCTACTAATAAGGGATATAAAAAGGCACATGGGAAAAACAAAGAGAGACATGTATTTTGCTCTGAACTTGACCGTTAGTGTATTTTTTACTGACTGCCACAACAACACCACTGTATCTTGTTACAAGGAGTTCTGTGGCTAAACAAGTTCCCTTATGAGAAGCAACATCTTTTGTTTATGTTAAATCCTCCACGTGCTGGGTTTTGTGTTGAAAGAGCCTTTGTATATTTATTCATTGTCCCTGATGTTTGTAGTTTCCAGAGGTAGGATTTATATACTACAGGTTTATAGGCTAAGATTTTGATTTTGAGTCCAATGAATTGAAATTTTCCCCTCCTCTTACATGAACATTCCTCGTTAACTTCTGTGAAGTAACTCAAACGTTTAAGATGTATCACAAATTTTGAACATACACAGGAGTGAAAGAAAATGTATGTGAGCTGAAAATACATCTGTTTGAGAGTATTAAAAAGGTTGCTCAAAGTGTTGTTTAATTAAAGTAGTAGAAGACGACTGAAATCAAATGAAATCAAACAGAATCCAAATAAGCCACATACACAGAAATATTTTTTCTTAAGGTTATTTTGACAATTTAAGGTTTAAAATAGCCACTGGAGGGCTCACTGATCTCATGTTAAATGACAAGCTTGTCTTTGAAAGTCAGTACTTCTGGGTTTTGGTTAAGGCAGTATTAATTGCTGTGCTCCCCATTTGAAGAAGACTGGATGATAACAGAATTTTTTAAGGTAATGGGCAGAGAACAATTACATTTTTGTGTCAAAGAATAACAGTTTTGTGACTATTACCCATGTCACAGTGTGGGAACATTTACAAATGTTTGGAAGGTAGGCAGATCTAAATGTTATAAAATAAGCATAAAGGACCAGAGTTCCCACCCCCTTACAATAAAAAATGTAAAAAACCCTTCCTGTCAGACAGAAGGGTTTCCCCATTTTGAGGAGCCACCTACACAGGGCAGATTTTCCCTTCCCTCCTCTGTTTTGTGTGTGACACCAAAGCTTCAGTGACGAGTCAGGCCCAGGGCTGTGGTCTTTCTGGATCACTGGTAGAACTGGGATGAAATGCAACACGTGATTGATGTGGGTTTCTCCTGGCATTTTGAATCAAGTCTTTATTTCATTGGAGTTAAACAGAACTTAGTTTTCAGAAACTTTGGGAACAGTGAATTCTGCTTACATATTCCAATATTTTTGTATTTTCCCCAGGCTGAATTTTTCCTTTGCCCTTTTGTTTTTTAGGGATCTTTCTTGGATGTGTCGATTATTGTCCTACTCCTGATTCAGTGAATGCATCTAGATGGTTTATATTTAGTATGAACATATTCCTTAAGTTCACAGGAGTATTTACCACTCTTCTGTGGTATAAACATGTGCTGAACAAAATACACAGCTCCTGAAGTGATTTTACCAGTCAAATATATCCAGATATTTTGCCAAAATATCATTCTTTGTGTTCCTGTAAGAATGTGTTATCCCAGAACTTCACTAGTCTGTTGCTTTACTTTATGGAAACTCCCTTGATTTGTTTTTGTCCAGTGCTCATTTTCAGCTCTGCCTGTTTCAAAATATTTCCCTTGCACTGAATAGCTATTTGAATTCTTTCCCATGATTTTGAATCCTGCATTTTGCAAGCTAATTTTTTTTAAATTCCCTCTGTATATGTCTCAACTTTGAGTGTTTGTGGTGACTTCCTTAGTCTTTATTTTAGATACTAGAAAATCATCTGTTGCAAGAGATACACAGAACTTTGAATCTTGACAGACAACTTCATTCACAATTAAGTATAAATATTTTTATTTTCTTAGTGTTCAACCCATCTTTCTAATTATCAGCTTTTTCATCATTCATGTAAAGACAAATATCCGCCACTTAAACTGTTCCATTATACTTTATCATGCAGTATCTGTACAGAAAATAATTTAATAGGTATAACATAGATGGGAAGAGGATTCTACCTGGAAATGCATTTTGTTGGAGTCTTTCTTACTGCTCAGACTAAAAGCACTCATCAAATCTATTTCATTTAGGACATTTGTTCATGGGGCCATCTTGCTAATCTGGTACAAAAAGAGCCTTCTTCAGGTAACTTTGCTACTAAATATTGGAAATGTGCTCACATTGAGATGTTGTCCTGTTTTGCCAGCAGTATCCCTTTATCTAAAGAAAAGGGATTGCCTCTGCCCTACACTTTTCCAGTTAGAAGATCATAGAGAATGTGCCTTTTAGTAGTTTTCCTGAGAATATCCTTGACTGAAGTCTGCCTTGGTCATACTTGAATCTTTCATCATTACATGCATGTATTTACAGGCTTACCTTAAAAAAAGAGAAAAAAGTAGTTCAGCAAATTCACAGAAGAGAAACACTGGCAAACTGATTCATCTTGTTTTACAGGTATTAAAACTTAATGCCTTTTCTTTTTTTTAGCAGAATATCAGCAGTGTTGTCATGGATACTGAATCAGGTCCTGTTTTGCCATCTTGCAGATGTGCTAAAAATGGGTTTTTTCCTTCCCACCTGTTAACCATTCATATGGACTTGATTGGAGGGTCCACTGAAGTCAGTGAAAAGTCTTTAGTCATCTCAGCAGATTTTGGACTAGGATGTAAGTGAACAATAGAATGTCAGCAAATATTCTGTTTCATAAGAGTTTTCAGGTATTTTGTACATCTTATTCCACTGTTGAAAATCAGATGCATGCTGTGAGCTTGCTCTCATTCTGGAGCACACCAAGCTGCAAGCCTGTGCTGGCTTAGCCTGGTAGTGCAGCTCCTGCATCTTGGTATTCCTCCCATGGTAATACCTCATCACTGTAGGAGAGACATGCAGGCTCAAAATATTAGGCCTTGGGGCTTTTAAAACAATTTTTTTAAACTTTTATTTTGGGGCATAACCTTTTAGTCTGAGGTTCAGATCGTGGACTGACTGCAGGTTTGGAAATCATTCTCTTGTACTGTTGTATTTGGTGATGCTTTCGTAGAATCAGCCAGGTTGGGAAGGACCTCTGAGATCATCAAGTCCAACCCTTGAACCACTACCACCACAGTTACCAGCCCATGGCACTGATGCCACATCCAGTCTCATCTTAAAAACCTCCAGGGATGGAGAATCCACCACTTCCCTGGGCAGCCCATTCCAATGGCTGAATACCCTTTCTGTAAAGAATGTCTTCCTAATATCCAACCTAAACCTCCCCTGGCACAGCTTAAGACCCAGCCCTCTTGTCCTACTGCTGCTTCCTGGGAAAAGAGACCAACCCCCCCCTGGCTCCCCCCTCCTGTCAGGGAGTTGCAGAGAGTGAGGAGGTCTCCCCTGAGCCTCCTCTTCTCCAGGCTGAGCCCCCCCAGCTCCCTCAGCCTCTCCTCACAGCACTTGTGCTCCAGTCCCTTCCCCAGCCTCGTTGCTCTCCTCTGGACCTGCTCCAGCCCCTCCATGTCCTTCCTGAGCTGAGGGCCCAGAACTGGACACAGCACTCCAGGGGTGGCCTCACCAGTGCTGAGTCCAGGGCAAGAATCACTTCCTTGGCCCTGTTGGCCACCCTGTTCCTGATCCAGGCCAGGATCCATTGGCCCTCTTGTCCCCCTGGGCACACTCTGGCTCCTGTTCAGCTCCCTGTCCATCCCCACTCCCAGCTCCCTTCCTGCCTGGCTGCTCTCCAGCCACTCTGTCCCAGCCCGTGGGGCTGCCGGGGGTTGTTGTGGCCAAAGGGCAGGACCCGGCCCTTGGCCTGGTTGAACCTCATCCCCTTGGAATCAGCCCATGGATCCAGCCTGTCCAGGTCCCTCTGCAGAGCCCTCCTGCCTTCCAGCTGATCCACACTCCCCCCCAGCTTGGTGTCATCTGCAAATTTGCTGATGGTGGACTCAATCCCCTCATCTAAATCATCAGTAAAGACATTAAACAGAACTGGGCCCAACACTGATCCCTGGGGACACCACTGGTGACCAGATCCCAACTGGATGCAGCTCCATCCCCACCACTCTCTGGGCCCGGCCCTCCAGCCAGTTCCTAACCCAGCACAGAGTGTTCCTGTCCAAGCCTGGCTGCAGCTTTTCCAGGAGAATGCTGTGGGAGACGGTGCCAAGGGCTTTGCCAAAGTCCAGACAGACACATCCACAGCCTTCCCTCATCCACCAGGCAGGTCACCTGGTCATAAAAGGAGATCAGATTGGTCAGACAGGACCTGCCCCTCCTAAACCCGTGCTGCTGGGTCTGATCCCTTTCATCTCGGTCCGTGAGTCGTGGGACCGTGCCCCCCCTTGGGGTGGACTTGGCTGCGGCAGCTGAGTCAGAGCGGCTGGCCAGGATTCTCCTCTCTGCTCAGTGTATTATCCCTTCCTGCCAGTGGCAGTGGTGAGAAGAGGCTCCCAGGCAGCACCACAGGGAGGATATGCCAGGATCAACCCCAGACTGCAGGGAGCCTGAGCTGCAGTCCCCTCTGTGTCACAGGCATGACTGTGCCTGGCCCAGGATCCTACACCTGCTGTCTGTGCCATCACACTGGACTCCCAGCACTGCTTCCCTTAGGTAGCTCTTGGTCCTGGCTTTTCCCTGACACTTAAATTTTTCGGCTGTATCTTAGAATTGTCAGTTCTGTAATACCTCCTTTTTTTGTCTTTTTTTCAGTTTCCCTTCTCCCCCAAACCGTTTTTTCCAACTCACCCTCCCTTCTGTGATGGTGGAATTGCCTGCCTTTCTGGCACAGCAATGTTACTCTTGACTCACTGGTCCCACTCATCCTACCTGCTGTACAGCACAGAGCTGAAGCCTGCATGACTGTCTCTGACTTCAGCCTCAAACCAGAGGTTATACAATGCACTGCATCTCAAAATACTGCTGGTAGTTCAGACTTTATGAATTCTCTCATTTTTTTTTTGAAGAAAAAATCCCTATACTTACTGCTGGCCATGCTGATTTTAATCTTAGATGAAACATTAAAGGCTGTGGGAGATGATAGCCTGATTCTTTGAGAAGGCAGAAAAAAATACTGTGAATTTGTCTCTTGCCATGCCTTCTGGAATGAGGTGTTTGGTAACATAACCACCTCAGTGCAAGTTTTTGGCAGGCAGAGGGTGGGGACGTGTAAACTTGGTTGGCATTTTTAACTGAATCTGCACTGTGGAACTTCACGTACATCAATACCCGTGGGACATGCCTGCCAGGATGCATGGCTCTCCGTTCCTTTACAGCATACTAACGCCTAAAAATCTATCTGACACAGTTCTACTCTTTTTAAACCATCTTTAGTTGTTAAATAAGACAATCTGACTGCATCACTAAAACAGAGGCTTTATTCTTCTGTCTTCGTCGTCCCCGGATAATGGTGGAAAAGGCTTGCAGTGTTTACATTAAGACATTTTTTTCACAACTAGCACAATGATTTCTAGGTTACAGGAAAAGAGGCATGCAGGGATCTA